AAAAATTTTTTAGCCTTTTTAAAAAATGTTTTTATTTATTTTGAGAGAGAAAGAGAGTGAGAGAGAGAGCGAGAGCACAAGGGCAGGGGAGGGGCAAAGAGAAAGGGGAGAGAGAGAACCCCAAGTAGGCTCCGTGCTGTCAGCACAGAGCCTGACACAGGGCTCGAACTTAAAACTGTGAGATCATGACCTGAGCCAAAATCAAGAGTCAGACGCTGAACTGACTGAGCCACCCAGGTGTCCCACATTTTAGCCTCTTTTAAGTGTAGAGGTTGGTGGTATTAACATTGACCTTGGAAGGAGTGAGAGAACTGAACAGAAACTGACTCTTGAGCACTCTTTCAGTTTTGCAAAGGGCTGACTAAGCTCAGGACGGATCTCTGACATCCCCCAGTACTAAGACTCTGTAGGATTTTGGCCCAGGAAATCAGAAGGCTCCCTTCTCATCTCTTCTGGACGAGCAGAGGAGCGTGAGATGTAGGGGCACGTCTGACCTCCCAGGACCCGCTGCCCACAGCTTCTTTCGCACTCTTGTGCTCAGTGTCTGGGGACAGGCTCACAGAGAGAGCTTTGTGTTCTGCAAATGCATTCCCCGCCACGGTTTACGTCCTCATCATTATTTCTCTAACATGGTCTGCATGGCAGGTGCAGAAGAGTGAAAACACTATGATGCAAATACTCCTTTGTCCCCATGGAAACGTCGCTTTCATGGCTCACTTCGTGTAGGGCCAAGACATGGTGGGCCTACCTGAGCACTGACTGACAAGGAGAAACTATAGTTGAAGTTAAAACCATCTGTGTTTGGGAGTTCTGTCCTATCCACCCTTTCCTCTCCCATGCGCGCGCACTGAGACAACTCACGAGGATTTTTGCGGGGCTCTGTCTATGGGGCTCTGGCACACGCACGTCTCTCTTCCTGACAAGATGAGGGATGGTCGAGTTCCGCAGAAAGGCGCTCAGCTCGGGGGTGTCCTCTGGGGGGGTGGCGGGCTGCAAAGAGAAAGCAAGAGATGGCATGTCAGTCTCATAAATGCTTGCCTCCTTTCCATCAGCCTTGAACTTGAGGCATTTTTCCCCCTCAACTGGCCATGAGTCACATGAGAAGTCAGACCTGTCCTGATTTACCAGCAGCATGTTCAACAGCAAAATGAACTGTGCTGACAAGGACCAAGGCTTCCCATTCTCCAACGATAGGAACTCCTGAAGGATGGGGAATGCATTCCTGGAAAATTTATCTCGTAAGGGTCCGATTTTAGCAGAAGTGATTTCCCCATTAGGGGGTGACTTTTCCAGTAGGAGTCATTTACTTGTTACTTTACTCTCATTGTATATTGGGACTGGTGAAACTCAGGAACCTTCTGTGTGGTGAGACGGATCCTGAGGTGGCAGGAAAGTGAGGCGATGGCCATAGGGAAACAGCGTGATGTGGTCAGGGACCCAACTTTGGCATGTCTGAGCCCCACACTCCTACAGTTGTAAAACATTCTCCCTCAGGAGTGAATCGTGTTCTAATAAAAACGACTTTTCCAAAGCATGCCAGATGAACACTGTGCTGTGAGGGAGCTTGTTTTTAGCCCTGAGTTTGTTTTGTGAGTGTTCTAGAACTTATGATTTTTATCTGAGGCTCCATGCTGGGTACATCTGATAGCTGAATAAATATTTTTAAAGTTCCAATAAATCTCACACAATATCCTATTAAAACTCTTCATTTTAAACCAACTGAATATAGAACCTTAATTTTCTGTCTCCCTAGGTTCCCCAAACACATGTTTTCCTTTCTAGTCCCAGGAAAAATAATAGTATGCTTATTTCTATGGGATGAAAAAAGATATTCTTATATTGCAGATGTAGGATGCACCACAAAAAATGAAATGAGAGTGCTCAGTGTGTCGTAAGAACCTAGAAAAATCTAGTGGATAAACAGAGTCCAGACTCCTTAGTATGCCATGCATAGCCTACTTCTCCAGCCTCATTTCTTAACCAAGAGCCCTTCACGTCCTGCTTTGCACAGGATGCACAGAACCTCCATCCACTCCTGATGTGCACCAGGCTGATTCCCAAGCCCCTGTTTGATATCCCACATGATGGCTCCACTCCCCCATCAGTACCCATCAAGCTGTACAGTAACTGCTGATGAGTTGCCCAATGAGAAGATGTAAAATAATAAGGATAGGGTTACATATAACATCGAAGGAAATATCAGGAAACAGGGAGAGGAAGAAGATCCAGGGAGGAAAAGTAAGATGGGGGAAATTGGATGTAAGAGACAATCCAAGAAAGTATGGATCTAGGGAAGCCCAAGGAAAAGGAAGTTGCAAAAATAAAGAGTGACTGAGGATGTCCAATCCTGCAGCCAAGTAAAGAATTAGGACTAAAAGGAGTCATTAAGTTTGTCACATAAGAAAGTATGGACACATCATCTAGCAGTTCCCCTCTGGGTATTCATCCGAAGAAAGGGAAAACACGAGCTTGAAAAGATCTATGCACCTCCATGGTCACTGAAGCACTACTTATAGTAGCCAAGATATGGAAGCAACCTAAGTGTCCATTGGAGATGACTGAATAAAGATGTGGGGCACACACACACACACACACACACACACACACACACACAAATATTATCCAAACATTAAAAAAAAGAAGAAAATCCTGCCATTTGCGAAAACATGGATGACCTCACGGGCATTATGTTAAGTGAACTAAGACAAAGAAAGATAAATATCATGTGGAATCTAAAAAAAAAAAAAAAAAAAAAAAAAAAAAAAAGACCACCCCAAATCCCCCCAAACCCAAACTAAACCTCTAACTCATAGATACAGAGAACAGGTTGGTGATTGCACAGTTGGGGGACTGGGGAGGGGGGTGAAATGGGTGAAAGTGGTCAAAAAGTACAAACTCGCAGTTATAAAATAAACAAGTCCTAGGGGTGGAATGTAGAGCTCAGTGACTACAATTAATATCGCGCTGTGTATTATTCCTGTAGCGGTCGCAGTAGCAGTAAAATAATAGCCCATAGAGAAGAAAACTCTTCAGCTTCCTGTGTGGTTGCATCAGATGCAGCTTGTGCACAGATAAATAACATGTTTGTGGTGGCCCCTGGTGCGTCATCACTTACAAATACTTAGGAGTGGTCTCTCAGCAAAACACAGGACTTACTCTGAGCCAGAGAATGAACGAGACCCACAGCAGGGGCTGGTAAAACATGCTTCTTTCTTTTAGCGATATTGTTTTACAGATAGAGGAATGTCCCTCCTAAACACCACACTGAGAATGTCTTCCAGTGACTTCCAAACCAGTGTTCTGAAGTGGCATTCCAGAAATTGTTTCAAGATACAAAACAAAAACCCAAAACACAAAACGAACCAAAACCAAAAAAAACAAAAAAAACAAGGGAGATGTTATCCAAGAAATGTAAACAACAGGTACAGCCTATTTTCTAGATGAACTTTTGGAGCCTGTTTCACAATCGATTGTGAAGCCACAGGTCATGTGTTTCCTTAATCTGAAATCCTTAGCGGTGAGGGCCTCTTAGCACCCCTGTCAGGCAGACGTTCGGTGCAGAATACAATTTGCTAAGTGCTCCGAGCAGCTGGTGGCAAACACTCAAGTATCTTCTTCAGAACAAATGTGAAAATTGCTCCTTTCTGTAATAAGGAAACGATTGTTAGTAAATACGGTTCTTTCCCCCCAGCTGCTACTCAGATTTTGACTCCAACAGGAGTTTTCTATTTTCATGACTCTTCACCAAGCTCTTCACTGTGGGCTACGTTTAAATTTATGAATTAAAGGGATACTGGATGGTTGGATTGCGCAAGACTGCTGGAAATGCAGCTTTTGAAGAACACAGTTGGGTGAGATAAGATTAAGGGCTCTTTGAACCCAAACAAACACAACGCGTGCTCTCGTCTTCTTGTTTGTGATTTGTCTTTGCACCTCAGGTAGTCCTAGTTCACAAAAGATGGTGGACTTTCTTTCATATAACTCTTCGTCTACAATTAAGTCGAAGTAGGGACAGACCATGGAGGTCAGTCTACCATGTAATTTTCCTTAAGACATAAATGTTAAGGATTTGTCAGGAGAGGAAAAAAAATCCACTTTTTTTTTAAAACATTCTGAAAAGTTCATGCGAAGAATGACTAAAAGAATCCATTCACTCCATTGGCGATTTTGAAGCTTTTCTTAGTTGTGGGACATGTTTTTGCATTTTAAAATTTACAGGAGGACCTGAAGACCATCTTAAAGAGAAGATAAGGCAGGGGCACCTGGGTGGCTTGGTCGGTTGAGCATCTGACCTCGGCTCACGTCTTGATCTTGCCGTTCCTGAGTTCCAGCCCCGCGTCAGGCTCACTGCTGTCAGCCTGTTAGCGCAGAGCCCGTTTTGGATCCTCTGTCCCTCTCTCTCTGTCCCTCCCCCACTTGTGCTCTCTCAAAAGTAAGTAAGCATTTGAAAAAGAGAGAGAGAAGATAAGGCAAAGAGAAATTGACCCTGGAGAGTGTATTCCCTTTGGTGGCTGGAAATCGGACCTATAGGCACTGTTAAAAATAAAAGGTGGGGCACCTGGGTGGCTCAGCTGGTTAAGTGTCCGACTTTGGCTCAGGTCATGATCTCATATTTGTGAGTTTGAACCTCACATCGGGCTCTGTGCTGACAGCTCAGAGCCCACTTCTGATCCTCTGTCTCCCTTTCTCCTCTGCCCCTGCCCTGCTCAATCTCTCTCTCTCTCTCTCTCTCAAAAAATAAACATTAAAAAAATTTTAAAAAGTGAATGAAATAATTCTATCAAGGGGAACATGAGAGAGAGAGGAGAGAACACAAGTGGGTTGGGAGCTGTAACCAGTGTTCCTGCATTCTGAATTGATAAGAAGCAGTAAGTAAAGGGAGGCAGTAATGAAGGAAAAAACTCTCTTGAGTGTAAGACACAACTGCAAATTTGCCAAGCCAAGCCACAGTCTGTGTGCTCACCGATTAAAAAAAAAAAAAGAAATAGAAAAAACCAACAACTAGTTGTAGAGCTCTAATCCTTGGCAAACGGCCTCTGTGTTTCTGTGTCCACGTTTGTACTATCCGGTTGTAATTCGGGCTTCCTGTGAGAATGATCTGGTTCCAGACACTTGTAACCTTCTGCCTTCCAGGCTCCAAGGTCCGTTCTTTGGGCAACAGCGGCTTTCTCTCTTGTTGCCGTCACCCGAGCCCAGCCTCTGTCCGATCGTTTGTGCCTCCGGCTTCTTTCTTGCGCTGGGGCCCAGAACGTGGTGCCCTGATCTCCGTGAAGGTTGAATTCCGGCACCTCGCTTGTCCCCCACCTCCCCGGGGTACAGTCTGACATTGCGCAGCCCTTTTGTCCAGTTCTCATACTTGGCTGTTGGTGACGAAATCTTGCCAACTTCAAAAAACATCCTTTACTCTTTATTCAACTTTGGTTCCTAAATAACGTTCGCTTTTTCAGCTACATCTTATTGAGAGATCATAGCTTGTCTGGAGGACTCCCCAAACCCCAGGATAAAGTTCACTAAAATAAGATAACGGATAGTTTGAAATCATTCTGTGACTGCCTTTCGAATGGTTGAGAAATGCTGTATCCAACTGTAAAAATTTATTTCAAGAAGGATCTGGAATGAATTAGATGTAATGGATTGGTTGGGAATGCTGCAGACAGTTGAATGTTTCACAGTGTTTTAGATGGTACAACGTGAAGAGATTGCGGCGTTAAAATCCTGTCTCTGGGGGCGCCTGGGCGGCTCAGTCGGTTAAGCGTCCGACTTCAGCTCGGGTCATGATCTCACGGTCCATGAGTTCGAGCCCCGCATCGGGCTCTGTGCTGACTGCTCGGAGCCTGGAGCCTGTTTTGGATTCTGTCTCCCTCTCTCTCTGCTCCTCCCCTGCTCGTGCTCTCTCTCTCAAAAATAAATAAATAAACATTAAAACAAAATTAAAAAAAAAAAATCCTGTCTCTGAAGCCTGGAGGCAGAACCTTCATGGCCATCTTCTTATGCCCCTAAGTTCTTAGAAGACAGAGAGATGAACTTGATGAAGTGAAACCATCATGGGAAGAACAGAAAACAAAACACAGCAACCATTTGGTTGGGTTCACTTCTGGGTGGCAGAAGTGAAAGCAGGAGTGAATGTCCAGGTGCTGCCCCGCCCTCTGGTCCCCCTGTGCTGGGTTGTGTGGCTCACTCACTTTTCCTGAACCCCATCACCTGCACACGCTCCCATTTACCTTCACACTTGGGTGTTTGAACAGCATCAACAAAGCAGGCTAAGCGAATCCCCACAGAGCCTGATATGAGGCAAGTATTTAAAAAACAACTCACAAACTTCTAGAGGCATTTGAGTGTGTCCTTGCCTGCACCCCACACCCCCCAAATTTAGTCACTGATGCTCTGTATTTGGACAATGAGTGCGGGTGAGAACTTCTGCCCCTTGTCTCCCATGATCATGGTGGTGACTTTCAAAGGCAGACTGCTCTTCAAACTTTGGGGACATTTGGGCCACTTGGTGGGATAATGAAACTGTACCGGTCACTGTTTGGAAGACTGAATTCTGTTCAGACCTTATCAGACTTTGAGGTTTATGTGAGGAGACTCACATTTGGAATGCATGTTCAATTTACAGATGGGTTATATTTCAGACGATTTTAGACTAGGTGTTTGGCACTCTGAATGCATTTCTCTTTAGAAGCAATCTTTTAAATGGTGGTTCAGTTTTCAGGCCAGCCCACAAAAAAACCCTTACTTTATCTACAATATGGCTTTGATGAGTAAAACTATGTATTTTCAATAAAAAACAAAGCCAGGAGGTTGCTATAGGAGTAATTTTTTTTAAAAAAGCAGAAAGAAGCCATATTGTGTTAAATACATTAGTTATATTAAATGCTATTAGATTTAATTAGGCAGAAAGGAGAAATTATTTTGAAATGTTGTAGAGCGTCTGCAGGGGATATCTGGGGAATTGCAAAGGTTTTAGAGTTGGTGGTGGTAGGTACTTGGAGCGGATGGCCTAGAAAATGCTTCTAAGGAAATCTGGACGGTTTCTTTATCATCAGCACATTTCCTGAGACATTTGTGGGAGCTGCAAAGAGGCAATGAAGAAGGGAGCTACTTTCAGTAGTTAAGTTGGAAAAATGAGAATACATACAGAAGGGGGAAGTGGACAAAAAGGTGTTTGTGACCCCGAGAGAAAGGGATTTTGCTGCGGGGAAATCAGTTGAATGGTTGGAGAGGCAAACATGGTGGGGAACTTGAAAATCGTCCAGAGGATACTTGAGAAAGTTGCTGTGGGAGCTTTCCCTCTGACAGGCCCGTGGCTGGCCTGGGATATTGTGGTGGCTTATCCAGTGGGGACTGCAGTATCCTCAGGAAGAACTTAGAGAAAATGAACTGCTTGTAGATGCGGATGTTTTAGGAGGCACTCACTAATTATTGCTATATTTATAAAGAAATTGTAGGAGCACCTGGGTGGCTCAGTCAGTTAAGCATCCTAGTCTTTTTTTTTTTTTAATGTTTATTTTTGAGAGATAGGGACAGAACACGAGTGGGGGAGGGGCAGAGAGGGAGGGAGACACAGAATCCGAAGCAGGCTCCAGGCTCTGAGCTGTCAGCCCAGAGCCCCATGCGGGGCTTGAACTCTCGAGCCGTGAGATCACAATCTGAGCCAAAGTCGGATGCTCAACCAACTGAGCTACCCAGGTGCCCCAAGCATCCTATTCTTGATTCTAGCTCAGGCCATGATCTCACGGTTCCTGAGATTGAGCCCCAAGTTGGGCACAGCACTGAGCATGGAGCCTGCCTGGCATTCTCTCTCTCCCTCTGTCTTTGCCCTTCCCCTGCTCAAGCTCTCTCTCTCTCTCTCTCTGTCTCTTTCAAAATAAATAAATAAACTTAAAAAAAAAAGAAATTATAGAACCGAATCATAAGGAATTTTACCTTGGTGGGCAAATGAGATTGATTATCGATTACTAGGATTTAATTTTTGCCTAGATGAATGTATTTTGACTGCCTGTTCCTTTTGCTACACCCACTCTTTTTCTGCTTCCTAAAGAACTAAGTTTAAAAAAGTAGATTTATTTTAAAATATCTATATTAAAAATATAGCAATTAACTTTGATGTAAGGATCTGAAATTGATACCTAAGTTAAAAAAGTTTCTTGGGGCGCCTGGGTGGTGCAGTCGGTTAAGCGTCCGACTTCAGCCAGGTCACGATCTCGCGGTCCGTGAGTTCGAGCCCCGCGTCAGGCTCTGGGCTGATGGCTCGGAGCCTGGAGCCTGTTTCCAATTCTGTGTCTCCCTCTCTCTCTGCCCCTCCCCCGTTCATGCTCTGTCTCTCTCTGTCCCAAAAATAAATAAACGTTGAAAAAAAAAAAATTAAAAAAAAAAAAAAGTTTCCCACACCTATTCTAGATCTAATGAATAATTTGTTCTTTGCTAATTTCAATTCATATTTAAGACAGGGAAAAGAATGTTTAGCTCTGTATTATCTAGGAAGAAATAAATTGCCAAGTAAGTTTATAGCAACTTCACCAAGAAATTATTTAATATCTTAAGCAGAAAATAACTTTCAGGTACTCTCAGCTTTTGTAAGCTGCTTATATAAAATTTACTGATAATTAATTTTTAAAATCTATTCACTGACAAAATCCCTTTTAGACTGTCTGGGTTATACATGCTACATATAAGTAAAGGTACTTGGAGTACCTGAAATTAAAAACACTTCAAGTTTTTCATTATTCTGAATTTTAAGAATTCATGAATTGTTATCATTTGTTATTTTGGGGAGCTATTCCTTCACCCTGTAATCAAATATTCTTATATTCAATTTCCACAAATTGAGAGTTTTATAAAAGCATAATTAAGTTGCATTTAAAAAATTACTAGCCTTAGGTTTTTAAAAGATGTTTATTTATTTATTTTGAGAGAGAGAGAGCATGCTTGAGTGGGCAAGGAGCAGAGAGAGAGACAGAGGGAGAGAGAGAGAGAATCCCAAGATCCCGAGCCCCAATCGGGGCTCGATCTCACGAAGCGTGACATCATGACCTGAGCCAACATCAAGAGTCAGACACTTAACTGACTGAGCCACGCAGGCACCCCCTAGCCTTAAAGTTTTAATCAAAGGCTATACTTTAAAGAAAATCTGTGTGGCAGGGAATGCAGGTGCACGAATCTGTCAACACTGAAGGCAAACTATCTATTGGTATTGTTCCAGTCACTGCGAATAATTGTTAAATCGCAAGAAAAAAGAATTCATAACCAACATGGGTCATATCACACAGGTTACATAAAATATACAAACATATATAAATAGTGTCATATATAAACCAAACATTACACTTGCGAGTTTAGAAACCTTCCCCATGATCACGTGCTCCAGGAATCCACGACTGAAGTAGAGAACCCAGTAACTACAGCACATGAAATGTGAAAGCTTTAATTGCTTAGATGTTACACATTATTAACATTTGAAGATGTTACTTTATAGTAAGCCACTGTCCTTGAAGACATTAAAATCATCTCAATGAAGAGCCAAGAGAGAGGAAATGGAAAAAAAAAAATTCAGGGAGGCAGTATTTTAAATAATTTTGTGGAATACAAGTGGCCTTACTTATTATTTCCCCTTGAAGAAGGAGACTTTTTGCCCTATAAATCCTTTAATACTGAACCCCTTTTAGTCTTCCTCTCTTGGAACAGAAGGCACGTTGGGTTGAAGAAGAAAGCCTTTCATAACTGGCCACGTCTCAGCGCCACCTGTTCGAGGAGAGGCAGACCCGCGTTCCAAATGGTTGAGTTAGTATTTCATGAAGCGCCATTTCTAACAGAGACACTGTCTCCCTGAGCTACTAGACAATGTTCATTCTTAACACGAAGTTCTCTTTTGAGGATAACATCGGGTTACAAACGTTTTTTTCCCCCTCCATTCAAATGTGATATTCTCCAGCGTTGATGCTAATTATGTTCTTTTCTTCCCAGAAGAAACTTAAAGCCAGATTTGGATCTTAATCTGAATGAGATGAGCTCCTTGGACATTTGAGCTCCCAGCATGGATGTCAGGTGGGGGTTGCCGAGGGGCAGAGTTTCAGGCCCCCCTCAGGCCCTGCCTCTAAACAGACCTCCAGGTGATTGGCTATGCTTAAGAATTGGAAAAACACTGCTCTAGGCTTCTCTATAAGCTGCACTGAAGAATGGGGTCCAGAAATTTCCAGTCTGGGGGTTCTCAGGGCACTGAGATGGCCTTTGGCAAATTATCGCATTTTACTACTTGCTATTGGCAACATCTGGAGAAGCCCATTTTGGCAAAGATCCTTATATCTTTTGGCAATGTACCAAAAGGACTCCAAAAATAGCATTTGGTACGAATTCTCCAAAACACGACATGTCTACTTATGATTTTGGTTTGGTTGTGCTGCAAGTCAAACCATATGCAAAAGGTACACATTCAAATAGACTAAATAAATGACAGGTCGCCATGAGCAACAGAACCAAGAGAAATGTAAGTTTTCGAGGAGTGACAGTTTAAGTTAGGTCTGGCATTTTAGCCATAAAACGAAAAGAAAAGGCTGGACAGATTATCACTGAAAGAACTTACTCTTGTAATTATTTTGCCTTAGAAAATAAAAGCTACAGTTTTAATTTTTTTTTTCCTTACCCTAATAAACAAGCAGAACAGCTTAGTTGGACCAGGCTCCTACCTTTATATCTAGTGGGTTGATGTCAGGATTTGTTTGACACTGCAGAGGTCCGAGAGTTTGAATATGAAAAATGTAGAGGAGAAATTCATCCCGGGCAGAGAATGGCCAGCCCACCTCCAGGAGAGTGTCACTGATGGTACTCGGTCCAATATTGTGCAGCTACAAACAAGGAACACATCAAATGATGGTACAGCACAAAACAGAAAGATGAAACCAAACGCCACATACTTCATGCCCAGTCTAAAGAAGCACGTATTTTTGGCTTTAATGCATCTGGGCTACGATAGTGGCTATACGAAAACAGAATCTTTATCAGCCAGAGATGCTCCGAAAACAGGTGCTGGTGCTCAGACAAGAATCTTCCATTTTATGAAGCTCTCAGGGCAGATTTCCTTAGCAAAGACCATGCAAAGACCAGGTCCGATGATGATGTTTACCTTAAGTTTATATTAATTTAATCACAGTGCTAGAAATGCAATTTTAATTATGCGCTTTCAAAACCTAGTTACTCTTTCTTTACATTGAAATCTGCCGTTTTCCTGACTACTGACTTGTCAATTGTAACCATCTGTGGTGCACTGTCTTTCACCCTCTGGAAAAATGGTTATCCATCAAATGCTAAAGACCGTCCAGCCTCACCACAGTTCACTGCAAGTGTGCATTTCAAAGCTGGGCTTCTTCTGTTTTAATCAGTGAATCTCAAAGAAAGGCCACATCTCAAAAAGAGATGAGCATTTTAAACACATGAATCCTATACTCACAGGACACAAAAAACAGCTTGAGAAGTTCACTAAATGTATTTAAATTTCTTGTGGTTTTGAAAATTCACTTCAAAGTTAGCAGGAAACTTTTGCCCCCCCCCTTTTTTTTTCACAGTTCTGATCATTATACTGATCAATGAAACAATTTATAATTGGTTTTGCTTATTAGGCGGCTCACTTAGTTCACATTATCAGAGCAACATGACATCCACTGATAACAGTATATTTTGAGACATGAGAATAGCATGGAAGAAACATGTGACGATTGCTTTGTCACCATGGATTATTACCCTAAAATCTTATGATCCGTTTCTTCTAAGATTAGAAGCAGGGCTTCCCTGAGAATCACTGAGCTTGAATATGGTGGCAGACTTTAAAGTTTCACCCTTCTTAAGCAGAAACTGGTGCACATAAGTTTCATCAATTATTTGACAACATTTTTTTTTTCTTTTCCAGCGAGGTTCTTAATCCGAGTGGCCTTGGGGACTATGTTATCCTTTTGCTATCAAGAGAGTTTAGGGCAAAGCTTTGATCCAGCTTTGGACAGGGCTGATTCTGAACCTCAGGTTGGGCAGATGACAGAGGTTTTCGTGTTGACGCTGTGCAGGAGTTGATGCTTCTTTCCCACATATGTAAACAGCTCATCAGTTTTGAAATGGCTTCATTGTTAACCTTAGAGAATGCTATTCATGTCCCTTGTAGCTTGAGATGAAAGTCACAGTCAGGATTATTAGGTCAGTGGAATGAGTTATACAGGAAACAGACAGCATTAAATAAAAAGGGACCTCAAACAGAAGACGGCTTGGAGCATCATTTTTACCAAAATTCTATTCCTGATCCTTTGATAATGAACAGGAATAACTACTCTCCACTAATGGTATTTATTTTATTAAAAAAAAAAAAAAAAAGAATAACTACTGAACTAGCCCTTTACTACATATTAGTTTCTAACTCTAAGAAATTTAAATGTTTCAGTAATTTTTGTAATGTTTATTTATTTTTGAGAGACAGAGACAGACAACGTCATTAGCAGACAAGGCAGAGAGAGGAACCTGGGAGAATGGGAAGCAGGCTCCAGGCTCTGAGGTGTCAGCACAGAACCCGGCAGCAGGGGCCTAGAACTCAGGCCCCAAGAAAGATCATAGCCTGAGCTGAAGTCCAATTAAGCAACTTATTTAGACCACCCAGATTCCCTTAAGAAATTTATATGTTTCAGATGATGTGTCAACAAAGTTACTCCCTATTCACAATTTAACACTTGAAGTAGAAAAAGATCATCAGGGCTTTTTCATGAGCTGCTGGTTTCCTTCTGGAAAATATTTTTCTAATTGAGGACTACTTCAAATCTCAGAATAAGTTATATATATATATATATATATATATGGTTATAAGTTATATATATGGGTTTTAATATATATATACATGTATGTATATATGTGTGTATATATATGTGTGTGTATATATACATACATATATATATATATAGTACAATAGTGAATAATCCATAAAATCTTCTCTGTCTGGTACCTTCTGGTTGGTGACTTTCAGTTTAAGAGATGGGTAGGTTTTAAATGTTTCTACATTTGAAAATGTAGGAAGAGGCAAAATACAGTTTAGGAAGCTAATCATTTTGATGCTTAGGCTGTCCAAACGTTAAGAGGAATTAAGGAACATTTAAAAGAGAACAGTAGGGGCGCCTGGGTGGCTCTGTCGGTTAAGCATCTGGCTTTGGCTCAGGTCATGATCTGGTGGTGCTTGGGTTCAAGCCCCACATCAGGCTCAGCGCCTGGAGTCTACCTCAGATTGTGTCTCCCTTTCTCTGTGCCCTCCCCTGCTCATTCTCTCTCTCTCTCTCTCTCTCTCAAAAATAAAAACATTAAAAAAAAATCTATAATAAAAAGAGAACAGTAACAAGATAAAATAGTCTCACTACATAACGGCTCTTACCACTAAAAAGCAAGCGACTCATACAGTCCCCCGCTCCAATATGATAGCAGCATATAAAGCTCAGATCTTGGATCGGTGTCTTTCAAAATGTTACTAAGAGTTTATTGGTAAAGAGTGTAAGAGAACACTCCCAACACAGCTTTAAGACAGACGAAAGCTACCTCATAAATATGTTCCACCACTGGTCCAACTCCCTCCTCTTTGTGGAGCTCCTCTTCTGGTTCCCAGTTAGGAACGGGCAGAACGATCTGCGGAGGGTGCGACACTCTGAAACATGGAGCGTTTTGTTAATTGCTGCTGATGACACAGGTGAAGAAGGCTTCACTAGTGGACAGTATACGAACAGCAACTGGACAAAGTGGCCCTCAATTTATTTGAACTATTGAACTACAGCCTTATAGTCTATATAGACTTATAGACTGTTTGAACTATAGACTTATTTGTCTATAAGGAAAAAAAGTATGGAAAGTGATGTCTAGCAAAACAGCTAAACGAACAGTAAAGGATCTAAAACATCTTCCGAAGGCTCTTAATTCCTAGTCTCTAGCTCAGAGGTGGACTATTTTATAGTATCTCATCTCTTGGGCACTAGGGGGCAGAGTGGAGAGCATTCCTGAGTTGAGATGGATAATTAAACATATACACATATAAATGTATAGAGCTACCTATAGGTCCTGTGCAAGTGTATGAGTGTGTGTGTGTGTGTGTGTGTGTGTGTGTGTGTGTACAGGATATAAATCCCTGCTTCAAGCCATACCAAGAACTGGGACTTTTTTTTGTGGATAAAAATCTAGAATACTGTGTGGTGTGTTAAATAATGAGTTGTGAAGAAATGTAGTTTTTAATTAAATACTTCAGAGGAGAAAAGCAGCCACTTATATAATCCTCCTTCTGAGATTTCTTGGGCTTTCCCCAAGGCTAGGCCCAGAGCCAAAATAAAGCCTGATGGAGTTCTAGAGTTGTCTTCTAGATAAGTTAAGGGTAAGAGACAGAGAATCACATGATTTAATCATGTAAGTAGGATATTAACTTGATACATGGATATTTCTTGCCTGCCATTTACACTTAGAAAGAGAGCACTGGGTGAATACAGTACAGTACCTGGCATTATTCTACAGTAAAAGCTGGTTACAAACCAAATTGTTATTTTTATATAAGCTTAAAAAGGTGAATTCCCAAAAGAACAATTTTTTTTTTTTTTTTTTTTAGCAATTTTTAGGTAAGGTATGTTTAAAAGAATTCCTAGACCTTGAACAGAACAGAACTGTTAAAAGCAACTCAAACAGAAAATCCCTCTTTTGGCAATCAGATGTCTTAAATGCCCTTTCAAAGGCATTAGTACTTAACACAGCCTCTAGCAACTTCAAACAGCTATCTTTATTTACCCCTCTGAGTAATCTCTTTCTAAAGCACAAAGCAAAATTTACTGGGCTAAATACTGACCCAAGGGCAAGTAACTTAATTTTCTGTGTGTCCCTATTTCCTCATCTGGAAAATTATGATAAACTCTTCGGGTTGTATACCACAAATGATTGGAAAACAACTCAAATGCTCTTGGTCAAAGTTAATTTGGCTGCATTGTCTTCTGGGGGTGAGTGGAAGAAGTAAGTATATTTTTTCAACTGACAACCCACAGAAATTCTACTAAATTATAAAACGCTTTGCTTTCATCCTTAATGGGCAACTGTTCAACAAAAAGTGCAGGGCACAGCCTTGCGGGGCTGGTACCTCAATGTTGCCTACCCTTGTATTGCTTTGTTGGTATGTGATACTCCCCCTTCTGACTTGATTTGATTAATCCATGTTCAGACCAAACTCTGGGAACTTGGCGAGGAGAAGAGTACAGAACACAGGTTACTTTCATTTGAGTGAAGCCCAGAGAGTTTGGGCTTGCTTTCCCATGGAGTTTTCACAACCTAACCACCCAAAACTTTTCTTTGCTCTTAGCAAAGGCCACAGAGAGCTGACTCCATGCTCCACATCCATCGTGAGGCTCTAGGGAAAACTTTTGTTTGTTTTGTTTTGGTTTTGTTTTTGGCATAGAGAACAAGTATAGGACACGTATAGAACAAGTATGAAAATTTTTTTCTGAAAAAGTGTGTTCTTATGGTCATCAATCCTGTAAGACTGGTCATAAATGCTCCAGTATCACAGAATCATAAATACTTAGAACTTGACAGGTGCTATGGAGGCGATGTGTTCAAAACCCCTCATTTTATACATGAAAGGAAAACTGGTGTTCAGCAAAGTAGAGGTCAGTTGCAGGGGAAGACCAGAGCTCAGGTTTACTCAGTACTATCCGTTTCACTTCCAATATATGGTTGACCCTTGAAAACCACAGATTTGGACTGTGAGGGTCCATTTATATGCAGATTTTTTCCATATATAAGATACAGTACTGTAAATGTTTTTTTTCTCTTCCTTATGATTTTCTTGGTGACTTTTTTCCCCTCTAGTCTACTTTATTATTAACATACAGTATATAACGCATATACAAAATATGTGTTAATCAACTGCTTAAGTTATCGGTAAGGCTTACTGTCAACAGTAGTTCAGTTTTGGGGGAATCGAAAGTTACATGGGCAGGGGGTTGGTGGTTCTAACTCTTGTGTTGTTAAGAGGTCAACTGTGTTAATGCACCAACAGGGGCCACTAAGCAGCAGTGATTTTAGCAAGGACAACTTAAACTTCCTGCCCCATTTCTGTAACAAAATCAAATAGAAATCTGTAAGGAAACAAATAGTCTATTATAGGGCATGGCAAAATCATTCAAAAGGTATGGCTCACAAAATTCAGTTATCTACCCTCTAAGGCTTTTTCTTTTCTTTAAAAAAAATTTTTTTTAATGTTTATTTATTTTTGAGAGACAGAGAGAGACAAAGACACAGCATGGGCAGAGACAGACAGAGACACGGAATCCAAAGCAGGCTCCACGCTCTGAGCAGTCAGCACAGAGCCCGATGTGGGGCTTGAACCTACGAGACATTATACCATGAGCTGAGCTGAAGTCAGACACTTAACTGACTGAGCCACCCAGGTGCCCCTAAGACTTTTTCAAATCTGGGGAAGCCGGGGCAAAAACAATGACTCTCTAAAGATTCCAAATAAATAAGTGAAAGGTTATTCCTGGTTTCCAAAATTATTATTTTTTTTTAAGAAGGAAGAAAGAGTGTAATCAACTATTAGCCTAGGATAAACAGCCCAAACAGCCCTTACTGAATAGTGCTCACATTCTAAGATGGAGGACAGACCATTGTTCCATGGAGATGCACCAGTAATATGAAGAGTGGGGCACCAATGGTAATACTAGACATTAGGAAGGGATTAGGGAAGCAAGGAATTAGGTTTTTGATAAGTTAAAGTCTATATGCTATTGGATGTTCAAATCTGATTCTGCGGTAGTATGGTAGGGACCCTATTTTCGTAATCCTATTTTCAAACACTATTAGTCCTAAATAGCAGACTACTATTTATTGTGTGGAGCAACAGTGGCTCTGACCGCGATGGCCAGTGTCCATACAGACCATGGTTGTTCATGATGGCAGTGTCCCTTAATCAAACCCACTCAATCCTGATTATATTACAAAGGACATGATTTTATTACTCGTTGTGAGCTCAGTACATGTGGTGCTGCCTCTTGTGGCCAGATTTACTTCTTACAGACTTCAAAACTAAATTAATCCTTTGTCCCAACAAATGACATGTAAATCTGCTGAAAGACAGTGTTGACACCATCTGGCTTTAAAATCAGTAGAACATGGGGCGCCTGGGTGGCTCAGTTGGTTGAGAGTCTGGCTTCGGCTCAGGTCATGATCTCACGGTTTGTGGGTTCGAGCCCTGCGTCAGGCTCTGTGCTGACAGCTCAGAGACTGGAGCCTGTTTGGGATTCTGTGTCTCCCTCTCTCTCTGCTCCTCCCCTGCTCATGCTCTGTCTCTCTCTCTCTCTCAAAAATAAATAAACATTAAAACAAATTATAAAAAAATAAATAAAATCACTAGAACAGTTCTCAGTATTTTTCCCCATTAAAAGAAATCAATCCATTTGAGTTTATTTTTAAAATTATAAAAATGAAATAAGAACTGCTAGAGATAGTGGATGATAAAATATATTGGAATAAACCAACTGGCAAAAAAAAAAAAGATTTTTCTGGAGACTGAGTGTGGAAGATTTTCAACACAGCAGCTGTTGGTTCCTTGAAGAATTAAACATTGGAACTAATATTTTTGCTGAGTATTTGGAATAAAGAGTTTTATTTTGCAAAATGGTTAAAAAGAACTTTAACACTATGTTAGAGAATAAACTGTGGTCAAATGCTGGACATTTATCTAGCGATTAAAAAACCTGCACCCAGATGAGAAATCCAATTTTAATGCCCTGCTTTGAACATTGGTAAAATGAATAGAAAATGTCCTTCTTTTTAAACTTAGAAACATTGGTGTCATCATAAATCATGGCAGAAATGCACTTGTAAATATTTGTCTTACAAATTGGATATATAAGAATAAATACAGTTATTTTACACACTGTGCCGCCTTGGACTGAGTTATGTCTTATGGAATAAAAATAGATCCCAATTTAAAATTTGTTTTGGAATTTAAAAAGTTTCAATTTATTTTTGGTTAGCAAAACAAAGAAAAACTAAGCTTAATGAAGTAGACAACATTTCATGTATTGTAAGGTATAAATGTTAAAAATATGTCAAGATAGTACAAAAATGCTTATTTCTTCTCTGATTTTCTTTAGTGTTTTTCTCAGACAGGGGAGTTAAATAAGAAATGCACAAAAATGAAACATCTGGATTAGCTCCAATTATCTATAAATCAAACTCACTTCCTGTGAGTCAACTCATGAATTGAGGAAGAAATCACAAAGGAAATTACAAACGCTGTGACTGAAAACCCAACATATTCACATTTTGGTATGTGCTCCAGCAATTCTTAGAGGAAAATTTACAGCACTAAATGCTTTTGTAAGAAAAGAAGAGAGGTCTCCAGTCAATGATTTAATTTCTACATAGAGGAACCAGAAAAAAAGAGAAAATCGAACCCAAAGTGAGCAGAAGGAAGGAAATAATAATAACAAAAGCAAGGGCCAATGGAATAGAAAACAAACAAACAAACAAATTAAAAGAGAGGGTAAAAAAAAAGAAAGAAAAAATATGAAACCAAAAATCTGGCTCTTTGGAAAGGTCTTTAAACTCTCGTTAGAGTGACTGGCGGCAGGGGGGGAAGCGGGGGAGTAAAAGATACAAATTGCCAATATGGGG